ACTGTACGAAATTAGTACATAACGAAAACCAACTCTGAACCCAAGGTAAAGGATGTTTTAGACAACAGGTGGTTCTGATATAATTGACTCTGTTGGACAGGAAAAGAGAATAGAAATCTCTCCAGGTCTCCAACTCACTCCTATCCAAATTAAGTTACTAAAATTCAAATTTTTAACATTTTACCAATTCATAAAACTATAAAACATCTGGATAAATATTTTGAAATCATATTAGAAAAGGAAAAAAAGTGTTTTAGTTTCATTTCTGTTGCTGTGATAAAACTCTCTGACAAAAGCAACTTTAAGGGAGAAAGGGTTTATTTAGTCTATTTATTATTTAGTCTATTTAGTCTATAATTCCAGGTTAAGGTACAACAACTACAGGGAGGTCAAGGCAGCAAAGCAACTTGAAGCAGCTAATTACATCCACAGTCCAGAGCAGAGAGAAAATGAATGAGCATCTACATGCCCACTACTCAGCTTACTTTCTCCACACTTTATGATCCAGGACCCAAACCCAGGGATTGGTGCCTTTCACAATGGGCTGGGTTTTCCCATCAGTTAAGGTAATCAAGACAGTCCCCCACAGATATGCCCACAGGCCAACCTGATCTAGCCAATCGCCCATTGAGACTCTCCCCCAGGTGATTCTAGATTGTGTCAAATTAATAAAACTAGCCAACACACTAAGCAAACAAAGCTAGGCAGACAAAAAAAAAAACTAATAGCTTACAAAGGAAACTATAATAGGCTTATTTATAACAACATTCTTATGAGATATAACTTTTAAAATATAATACTGGAAAATACATTTGCAACATCCATCAAAAAAGATAATTTCCCTAACATATAAAGAGTTCTTGGAACTGGAGAGATGGCTCAGCAGTTAAAAGTACTAACCATGTCTGTGGGAGACTATCCTAATTAAGTTAATTAATGTGAGAAGATGCAGCCCAGTGTGGGAGGCACCATTCCCTAGGCAGCAGGTCCCCAATTGTGTAAAAGTGGAAAAACTGAGTTGAGCACAATCAAGTGAGCATGTATTCCTTCATTTCTCTGTGATGACTGTGGATGTGTTGTGACTAGCTGTTTCAAGTCCCCACTGTCTTGATTTCCCCTCAATGATGGACTATAACCTAGAATTATAAGCTAAAAAAAACCAAAACCCTTTGCCCCTAAATTGCCTTTTGCTAGGGTATTTAATTACAGCAACAGAAACGAAACTTGAACAGAGCCCTTGCCAGCATGTACAAGGTTCTAGGTCTGATCCTAGCACCACAAAATAAAAGAGAAAACACCTCACAATCCAACTAGTTAAGCCCACTTCATGCTCCCTCTCATCTCATGTCATTGATCACTCAGTCCATGTCAACATTCCCTCCTCCTATCTCCTCATACCCAGATCTGAAAACATTATCATGAGCCTCTGCCAGTCTCTATTTCCTGAAAATTACCAAGGCCAATGCTGCCAAGCAATAATATAAGTCAGATACAAGTCACATGTACATTTTAATATTGTCCAGGGCCGGAGAGATGGCTCAGCGGTTAAGAACGCTGACTGTTCCAGTAGAAGACCCGGTTCAGATCCCAGCACCCACATGGCAGCTAACAACTGTCCGTGACTCCAGTTCCAGGGATCCGACAGCCTCTTCTGTCCTCCGCAGGCATTGCACGACATGGGTGCACTTACATGCAGGCATAACACTCATACACATAAAATAAAAAATAAATAATATTATCCAGGAACCACACTTAAAAAGGCAAAGAGAAGTTGGTGAAAAAAATTACAAACATATTACTTCAATATCCTATCAACATAAAAATCACTAATAGCAATTTCTAATTCTTTTCATATCAAACGTTTAAGATCTGGTGCATATTTTACACCCACAAGGCATCTCCTTTTGTACTATCCCCATTTCAGCTGCTCAGAAGCCATGGATAGTCAATGAATGCCATACTAGACCACACAGATCTAGACAGTAGTGCGGGATTTTAATCACATTTGCTTATTTGTATGTTTATTGTTCTCCAACAGATACACATTGCATGCATGCGTTTGTTTGTTTGTAGCAGTGCTGGAGATGGAGCCCACTGTCTGGAACCTGCTAGGCAAGTATTCTGCTACCAAGCTATATTCCCAGCTCCATGCATTAAAAAAATATTTAATTTTCATTTTGTGTTGATGAGTATATTGCCTGCATGTATGTAAGTGCACCCACGTCATGCATTGCCCTCAGAGATCAGAGGGAGGGCATCAGATTCCCTGGAAATTGAAGTTACATTACATATGGTTGTTAGCACCATGTGGGTCCTGAGAACTGAACCGGGGTCACCTGCAAGAGCAGCCAGTGCTCTTAACCACTGAGCCATCTCTCCAGTCCCCAAGCCCCATGTATTTTTAAAACTTGTTATTTTCAATATTATCAACAAGTTTACACATTCATGACCCAATCAAGCAATAGTTCTAATCAAATGTCACAGCTGTATCTGCCTTCACTACAACATCTCTCTCAATACCTGGCTTTTGTCTACCCCACTGACCTTACCAACCATTCTCAGTCTGTTGTCACTTTCTCTGTGATAACTGACTGTGAAAACAGAATGGTAGAATTTCCATGTCCTCACCACCCTGCCCAACACTAACCCATCCAGTTTCCAACTGTGCTTTTACAGACCTGCGGTCACTGATTCATGACCCAAAAGTTCAGGTTCAAGTTATAGAAAAGCCTTGACTTCAGAGCAACTTTAAGGTTATTTTGATATAGGCTTGTCATTTACTTTTGCTTAAAATTAGATGCATTCAAAAGGTAGATACATGGCAATTTGCAAGAGAAATTGGTGTGATGGTTCACAAACACAAGTCAGGCTACCTATTTTTCTTTCAAAGAATGTACTTCTACTGCAAAGATGTGGTTACAACTAAAGTCATTACAGATGCATCTCATCACTGGAAAAGATAAATATGAGGTCGGCACAATTCATGAAGTTAAATGGGCTTGAATTATGAAACTATGGTATCAATCCCTTACACACCTATTAGTTTTTAAGTTCACGTTGCAGTTTGGCGTCCCATTGCCCAGGTGTTTGCCATCCTAATAAGGGCAAATCTGCTCTCCCCTGCTGCTATGAAAGGGGGTGTGTAGAACTCTGAATAGGGAAGTTACAGGACCTGGCCTGGAGTCCTCATGGCCAGTTGCAGTCCTTGCATGACCTTGGTGGTCCATTCACCCTGTTTTTCAGCCTTCCCACCCACCATGAAAGCCAGCTCAGTCTGCCTCTAGCTCCACCACTCCTGACCTCAGGAATCATTTTCCTCTATTCCATTATGCCCAAAACACATGCTTACTTATGCACTTCCTTTTTCCTAAAAGACAAGATGGCTGGCAGCACTGCAGTGAAGGGGTGGAGGGGGAGGCTGCTTTAAAAAAAAAAAAAAAAAACCCTAAAATGAGCCACCTTTCAAGACATTCCCTGCTGTCTGCATGTTCGTGGTGCTAAATCATCTCTTCCAAGGAAATCTGCTATTTGTATTTATGTACTGTGTTCTTGGATGGTATTTACACTATACACCCATCTCTTTTAAGAGCCACTTGTCAGTACAAAGTATGTAAGCCGTGCACAGTTGTAAGCTGCACAGTTGATTTTAGATGACCCTGAAGAAAATCAGATCAAAATTACAGTTTCAGTTAGGTTTTGTACCAGCTTCTGACAAGTTAGAAAAAAACAACAACTGTAGCTCCCCAAACTTCCTCCTTGCCCCAAGGCTCTGCAGCATGCTCAAATTCAAGCAGCCAGAACAATCATTGCCTACCCACACCCAGAGGAGCCCCCCCCTCCCACTGATTCTCAAGAAGTGAAGTCAGGGGGCAGCTGCCCGCCATGGGCTGCGGTCTGCACGCCTTCTGCCTGGCCTGATTTTTCATGCTGCCATTTTGAATTAGCATAGGTTTCCTCTGCAAGTGATGCGTGATGCGTTTCCTAGGCAGGCGTGGAGCACAGCATACACGTACACAGATACACACACACACACACACACACACACACACACACACACCAGAAAGAGGGATCCACGCTTAATGCAAGGCACTTGGGAAGCTACAATTACACAGAAAAGTCCTATTATTTAACAGAATCCTACCAGGTAAGCTTGGGAGACAGAAAATAACAAGTTGCCTTAGATACAAACACAGTAAACATTTTTATTCCTAAATTCTCACCAATCCCCTAAAATTCAAGCGTCTCCCATTCTCTCTGCAGACCGCACTATGGCTGCCAAATAATCCACAGAAGGCACAGGTCAACTGAGGCTGATAGCATCTCAGAAAGACAGGGTGTCTTTTACCTGCAAGGGTCCTGACTCCTGGGGGATACCCGACCCTGATCCACCCCCACCTCAAAGCCCGGGTGAGGAGACCTGGGGCGAAGTTGTGTCTGGCCCCTCCGCAGCCGGGCTTATTGGCCTTTAAGGCGACGCAGACCAGGAACACAGCTCCGGACGAGCGCGGCCCAGGCAGAGGTCAGGCCAGGCAGCCACGTCCGCAGCTTGCAGCCCACGCAGCAGGTGCGGTACTTCAGGGACAGAGCCAGGCTCGCTCAGCCAGCCGCGCCCGCGAGCCCCGAATCCCGGGAGTCGCCCGAGAAGAGGACGCGTGAGGGTGCACAGGGACACTCCCCAGGCGCTGCAAAACGGAGGCCTGGTTTGTACGGGTGAAAGGGAGCTGCGAGGTGCAGAGCGGAGACCGGTTCCAGCCAGGCTGCAGTGCCCGTGTCCCTACAGTCTGGTCACGAGCCACCCCTGACTAAGTCCACCTCTCCTCGGATCCCTGGCTCCTTCAGCCTGCAGGAGCCAGCGCTCGCAGGGACGCGACAGGAGTATTGCTGCCCTCCGATTCCGAGAGACAGTGGAGGCGGCGAATGGCAGAAGCGGACGACCACCCTCCCCTCCGCCAGGGGAAGAGCGGAACTTCCCTCGCCTTGCGCTCCCAGCGGTGGTTTACCTGCCAGGCGGCGGGCTCCGGCAGAGTCCTGCGGTGCCGATGCTACGACCGCCGGGATGGGGGCGCCGGATGCTAGCGCTGGATGCCGGCGCTGTGGCCGCTGAATTACTGCGTAGACATCAGGGGCTGCAAAGGCAGCAGAGGAGGCGACAGCCGGGCGCGTCCCCTTTCCCAGACTCTGAGCTCCCCAACCCGCTGCTAACAGCTGGCTGGGATCATGTGACTGTGGGGGCCCACCCTCCGCCTCCTGGCACTCTGGGTCCCCCGTCCGCGCTGCACCCGCCTAGTCCGACTGCGGAGGCTGCAGCGCCTGTGCGGCCTGGATAGGGAGGGCGCCAGAGAGCCAGAGGCGCGGCTGATGGAAGGGAATCGCGCAGAAAGCCGCTCCCACCTTTCTTGATTTTGATTTCTTGGTTGCAGCTCTTTTAAAAGGGAGAACTAGAGCTTTAAGAAGCCAAGTCCATTTTCCTTCCAGCGCGTTTCTCTGACCCTAGTGTTTGGTTGCTACCTCGGGGACTTCGGAGTCAGAGGATTTCCCTGCAGAGATCTGTGTTCTAGCACCTTCAGAGATCTGTAACAGGTGCCTGCAATCCCAGTGTTGCAGGGTGGGGGTAGACCAGGCCCAGTTGGAGGTCAGCCTGGGCTACATAGTAACACTCTGTCTCAAAAAGAGAAAATAAAAAGTGCACTGTTTGAATACATTTTAGTTCATCAATATCATGGGATGCAATCCAGCTTATTTTTAAGGATGAGAGTAATGTCTATGTACTGATACAAAACTTCCAATCTATACCAAATAAATAGATGAAAGGGAGTTAGGTAAGTGCAGGATATTGTGTGTGTTACCATTTGTGGGAAGAAAAATTACATGCACTTGCCACTCACATTTGCAAATACACAGAATAAGTGAAACAGCAGCAACAACTTTTTTCCATGTCTTTTAAATGTGGTGTCTGTACTTGTAGCTTGTCACATGAGTAAATGAACAGTGGGAAAAGGCCAAGGGAATGAGTGGAGATACTCTAGGCTTCGAACACAAAGGCGCCTTTATTGTTCATTTACTCTAAACAAGGAACTGTACCCTAATGCATGTGAATGATCAATATCAGAAACCCCTAAAGAGATTATTCCTGGGGTCCTGCTTCTATCTACTGAATTCAGTCTCTAGGGCTGGGGCCAGGGAACTTGCATTCTGTCAAGCTCTCAAGTTTCTCTTGTGCATTAAAGTCTGATAGCCACTGTTTTAAATGTCTAGCTTATCCCCAGGGTCTGCATGAAGGCACTTTTTCCATGATATTAGTAATACTTATTAAGCAGCAACAATACATGTCTTAGCTTTGTACAGGACAGACAGACCCTGCTGCCACTCAATCCACACAAATGAAGATAAGGGAACAGAACAGGACAATAAATACAGAGTACTTGGAGAAATATCAGTAAGGGTTTTAATCACTGGTCTCTACCAATCATGTGTGGTCTAGCTGTGAGCGAATTGCAAGGCTTCTATGAGCTAGCCTGCAAGGAGAAATAACTTTAAATTATATGCAACTGTTAACAAGGCAAATTATAGTCTATCTAGCCATGCTCAGAGACTTAAGAGCTAGTAAATAAAAGAACACCATATTCCTGTTCTATTCCATAGAAGTAGGTAAAGATTTTTCCTTTTCCAGAACAAAAAAAAAAAAAAAAAAAAGAGGGAAGAGAAGAGTGGTGATTTCAGCCTTTGCGTATTGACATGGAAGGTTAGTCATAAAATCTCCCTCTAGGGAAAAAAGCTTTGGATTTATTTCTAAGCAGTAAAGTTCTAGTTTTATTTATAAGCAGTAAAATGAAAATAAGATCACCAGGGAAACTGAAAAATATTCAATTCCAACAGCATCAGAACTGTTCCTTCATACAACTTTCCCTTCCCCATTTGGATTACTATTAAAAACTTACAGAGGGGCTGGCAAGATGGCTCAAGAGGAAAAGGTGCCTGCCACTAATCCTGACTACCTGAGTTCAATCCCCAGGACCCACATGGTAGGAGAGTACTGACTCCTGCAAGTTGTCTTCTGCCCTACCCCCACATGCATGCTATGGTGTGTGCATGCATGTGCACAAATACACATAAATTAATAAATTAATTAATTAAAATGCAATAATTTAAAAAATATTTTATTTGCTTTTAGTTTATATGTATGCACTTGCCTGCGTGGATGTAAGTGCTCCCATGTTGTGCAATGCCTGTGGAGGTCAGAAAAGAGTATCAGATTCCCTGGGACAGTTAACTGCCATGTGGGTACTGGGAATTGAACTCAGGTCCTCCGCAAAAGCAGGCAGTGTTCTTAACTGCTGACTCATCTCTCCAGCCCCCAAATGTAATAATTTTTTATTAAATTTTTATTTATTTTTACATGTATAAGTGTTTTGCTTGCATGTGTGTGTGTCCAAGGTCCTCAAAGACCAGAAGAGAGCATCAGATCCCATGGAATTGGAGTAATGGATGGCCGTTAGCTACACAGGGTGCTGGGAACTGAACACTTTCCTCTCTGCAAGAACAGCCAATGCTCTTAACCATTGAGCCCTCCCTCTCTCCAGACCCTTAAATTAAGTTTTTGTTTGTTTGTTTGAGAACTTACATAGATATTTGGTTAGTCCTGACCATGAATAATTGCTTGTCCTGGACTGAAAAAATGGAAGAAAGTGTCCTGAAACCAATGGAAAGTGGCTATGTTGTGGAGGGTCAGTTCAAGTAGGCTCTCTGTGATAGGCTGGGGGTCTAGAATCAATGAGATGTTTTGAAATGTAAGGGGTTGTGATGTGCAGAGGAAGAAGTTGGACTGTAATGCAGGCCCAATGAATTGTTAGCCAGTCTGGAAGATCTCTCTAAAGCAATCATCAGAAAAGTCTTCATAGAACCACAATGGCCAGGCCTTCATACCACACCTTGCTCAATTGATAAAAGTTGCTGCCCTGAGAAGGCCATAGCCTCCTTCCTCCCAGTCAGCTCAGAACAACCAAGGCAGAAGGCACTGGTGGCTGGAACTGTCTGCCAAACACACATGGAAGAAGCATCATCATGACTATAACTAATACCAGTGTTTTCAGTTCAGGAAATTATTAATAAATCTTTATTTACAAGTTTTTGTGTGAATATATAGATTTTTCATTTTTTAAAAAGAGATTTTATTTTTTATTTTATGTGTATGAGTGTTTTGACTGTAAGTGCACTTTGTACATGTTGGATTCCCTGGAACTGGAGTTAAGGACAGGTGTTAGTCACCATGTGGGTGCTGGGAACTGAACCCTGGTCCTCGAGAAGAGCAGCCAGTTCTCTTAACCACTGAACCATCTCTCCTGTCCTTAATATAGATGTTCATTTCCATTGAGTTAGTTCCTATTAGTACATCACATGGCAAGTATATATTTAAACTTATAAGAAACTTCCAAACTGTAACCCAAAGTGGTTTTGTCATTTGCCATTCTACGGAAGTATATAGGAGTTTCAGTTGTGCTATATCTCTGTCAACATTTGTTGTTAGCCTTCTAAAATTTCATCTATTCTAGTGAGTATGTGGTAGCATCCCACAGTACTTTATTTTGTGTCTCTCTGACAACAGTAGTGAGCTTCTTTTCTATTCATATAGCTTCTTTAAGAAGGAGCTCAAATTTCCTGTCTACTTATTCAAAACTCCTACTTTTAATTTGTATCCTCATTAGGTCATAAGTATTTGTTATGTATGGATGCAAGCCCTTCATATTTGTGTAAAGCAAGTACTTTTCAGTTTTGTCTTTTTCATTTTATTAATGACTTTTGAGAAGAAGATTTTTTTGGTCTTTTTGATAATGCTTATGATATCCAATTTATTTCTACTTTTCCTTTTGTAGTCAATTTAAAAAAAACCTTTGAGCTAGGAAGATAGTTCAGTGGGTAAATTCATTTGTTGTGCAGGCACGAGGATCTTAGTTTGAATCCCAGAACCCATATAAAAGCAGGATGAGTAGTGCAACCATTTGTAATCCCAGCACTCCCATGGAGAGTAGGAGGCAGACAGAAGACTTCCCAGAAGCCCACAAGCCAGTTAGTCTGGCATATGCAGCAGAGCAAACAGAGACTCTGTCTGAAGCAAGGGGGAAGATGAGGATGAGGACGGACACCCAAGGCTGTCCTCTGACCTCCACACACATGTTGTGGCACACATACACCAGCATTCACATACATGAATGTACACACACACACTGTACACACACACTCACACATACACACACACGTATACACACACAGTATACACAGAAACACACAACAGTCTTTGCCTACCCAAAGATGGTAAGGATTTTCTTCTGTATATTTGTATGCAGAGATCGATAGCTTTAGATTTATGCTTAGGACTCTGATCTATTCCTATTTAATTTTTAATTTTTGTGTATGGGGAAGAAAAGGTCAACATTAGATTAGATAGATAGATAGAGATAGATAGATTAGATAAATAGATAGATAGATGTATACAGATATAGATAAAGTGTGTGTGTGTGTGTATGTGTGTGTGTGTGAGAGAGAGAATATTCAGTTACTCTAATATCACTTGTTTTTTCCCACTGAGTTACTTTCCTGTTGTCAAAAATCAATTGACATATAAACATGAAGCTACTTTGTACTCTTTATTCTTAAGCCAACACTGCATTCTCTTAGTTTCTGTAGCTCTGTAGTGTTAAAATCAAGGCTCTTACATCTTCCAACTTTATTCTTTTTCAAGACTGTTTTAGATGTTCTAGGTACTTTGTGCTTCTTAAAATTTTTAGGATCAACTTGTCAATTTCTATTTTTAAAACCCTGAATGGTGTTACATTTACTATATAGATGATTTTGATGAAAATTTGCACTTAAATTGAGTCTCCAAACCAATGAACCATTTCTTCATTATTTAGATTATCTTTAAATTTTCCCAGCAGATTTTTATAGTGTTTAGTTTTAGCATCTAGGTCTTAACCACATTTTGCTAATAATTATTCCATATTGAAGATGCTATTATAGCTAGTAGTTTTCTGTTTCATTTCCAATTATTCACTGCTAGTATATAAAAATAATTGACATTTTAATAGGTGTGTGTTGTGAGGGGCACATGTGTGGTGAGGATATGCATATGAATGTTACATGTATGGACGTTAGAAGACAACCTTAGGTGTCAGTCCCTGGCGTTTTCCATCTTTTGTTGGAGACAGGGTCTGTCATTGGCTTAGGACTTAGCCACATAGTAAACTGGTCTGTGAGCTTCCGGATATCTGCCTGTATCCACCTCTGTAATGAATGTA